TAAGAGAACACTCGTCTACTCCCCAAAAGTAGGGAAGGAGTGAATTCCATCTCGTGAAGTTATGTTTCCAACTCCCCACTCGGTCTCGTCCTCAAAATGGTGGGAATATTAAGTCGACGACTTGGGCCACTCTCACCCTTACAGATCAAAGGACGAGTCCTCATGGGCATGAGTYCATACCTCACTTAGGATTGAGAATGAGTTGTTTGGTCATCMTATGAAATAGCAATYTATTAGTCAACGACATTACATCTAAAGATTGACTATTTTGTGGTCCGATTTTATACAAACTCATTGTATAKGATACTTYCACTCGCATGTCTCCACACAAATGACATGGATCGRGTCGTCTGTAATATTCACAGAGTGAGYCGTATCCATAGTGTTGCCAGAATAAAGTACMYAGYCTTATCCATATACTATAAACGCTTTAAGTTATTCCTGGGATATTATCCACTTGTATATCGAGGGTATATCAAATATATACCCAATATATATACTGTCCTAGTTACATGACAATAACCTTGGATGTTTAGTTTATTGGATTTAAACAATGCAATGCTATGAATTCAACAACAAATTGATTGAATATAACTTTATTGAATATAAGAGTGGTAAAATACATGAGAGGAAAGMAAACRCACTTACTTTATCRCGAGTCCCCACTATAGACATTCATTTTCTTTAAATGGGTAGCGTTAGCATCTTGGAGGGTAGTAGCCTACATATTAAGGTGACTTCGTGAAAACCATTGTCGACATCATTTTATGCTGGGTTGCTACTTAACAAGTTTCTATGAGTGGCTGTGGTTTGAAACCGATGTGGATGTGTTGAGAATCTCARGGGCTAGTAGCCGGTCCACTTGATGTTAGAACTTCTGAATCAAAATGGAAGTGTGCATATTCCTTGGTTTTATAAAAATTTTTGTGTCTTAGAAAAGGAGAAGTTTAGAATCATTTTCATCTTAAAAAACAAAGGATGGTTTATGGTTTTTTTGCTTGAAAGTAAAACTAGGATGTTTAGCTTGTGGAGCCTTTCCTGRGACAAATATGGTTCATTAACWTAGAAGATTTGGATTGTTGATCATTCTCTAGCATGTTGATTGYTTTAAATTTGTTGTTGTTACTTTTGCTTGAGGACAAGCAAATGGCTAAGTTTGAGGGTGTGTTAGGGTTGAATTTTTACTGCAGAAACATGTATCGGTAGCCCTGTTTGACCACGTTTTTTTACCCTTTTTCCATCATTATTTGCCAAAAAKAACCACATATTCTTAAAGTAGAACATGYATAGATTATTTCTGCATAAAATTCAAACTATGGTACTTTAGGGAAAATATGAGAAAAATGCGGTCAAAGTTGGAAGAAAATAACATAAATCTGTTTTTGCARAATTGTGCCCGGCGCATTTTAGAGGACAAAATGGCAAAACRCACGTTTAGATTAATGAAGGGTACGGAGGACATTTCCCATATGTTCAAAACCGTGAGTCCAAGTACAAGTGAGGTGGTTAGGTGAATCTCAACCCATTTCCACTTAAAATGGAGGGGAGTYTCAACSAACCTATGGTGCTATAAAAGGAAGTCATTCCTCCAGCAGAATTTCATCCMTTCCAAGCTCCATTTCATCTTCTTTTAGTGGCTCCCTAGTYGTAGAACACGTTTTTAGGGTTTATGTTCGTTTCTTTGTTTTTCACGTTTTTACCTTCTGTATTGCTTTTAATTCAAGTTCTTACTTCTGTTCTTTGTTCATTATRTTCTTTTAAAGTTCTTTAGCGAGTTTCAACTCCCCTCACGCTCGAGAGAGAAGAGGGTCAAGCTAGAACTCATTGTACGACTTGTTTATTTATTTAATTTCAATGAAAAATACTTTCTTTATGTTTTCGTGCATTAACTTTTCTTTAATTATATTCAAAATTAATTATCAACCTCTYTGTGGAATGCCTTAGTCGAAATGATTTGATTTTCAACACGCTCGKGATTTTGCCCATAATTGCGCCTGACACTTTTTTKGGTTGGTTTCTAAAAACTTCTYTTTACATCTTTTTTTCCATTCGGTCGGTGGGAAYTTGATTTATACACCAAAGCCCAACCTTGGGAAAAGTGAGTTAGATAAAATAATAGGAAACTAATATGGGATGTGACTTAGGCATAAGCGCAAAAAACATGGTCCTAGACATAGGCCCTCTGACTCATAATGCAAGTGAGTTGCTCGATATTCTCTAGKATTGTAATCACACATAGGCATATGATTGTAGGTTACCCTAGCCTTTGCAGCAGCCAAAAGTGGTAGTGAAAAAGTAGAACTCGAATCCCAAGAAAAGCTTGAATTGCACCTGGTGCATTTTCCCAACAAAGTGTATTTTCCATGTTCTGCATCAAGACTAAGGTAGGAGGCAARGAGGTTGAGTTTTATTAAATTGCATGCTAGTTAAAACTCCAAACAACAACATTTCACCATTATTTTCTTTATAAACCACAATTGCATATTTGAACCATTTCACTGCATCACTTGATTTTGAAAGCAAAAAGTCCCTGAGGATTCGACCTTGGATTACTTCCGATATTACTTGTGACCGTGTGCGCTTGCACGAGTCTCTAATCTTTTTAAAGGTAGAGAAAGTCCTAACAGTTACCCTGACTTGCCGACTCAACATTTCTACCATTTTGGGGAGGAGATGGAGTGGGGAGCTAGGAACGTAACTACATAAGATGGAATTCGTTCCTCCCTGGCTTTAGGGAGTAGTTGAGTGTTCCCTTTAGTGCTAACTTCGGGAATTGAACAAGGGGCCTAACCTACTGATTGGCCTGAGGGGGACTTCCAATTATTAGCCGTACCATAATTGGGTTGTTTATTAAAGGATTAGTGGTACTTAAGGTACAAGATGTAACATAGGAGTAAAACAGTAATTTGATCCATCTGTGGTTACAAACACTCGTGAAGGATTGACTTGCCGTCAATGATCGATATCCATGAACACATAATATTCTATAGTGAGAAGAGTGCAGCTGCAGGTTTTTAGGGGAGTAACCCGTAGTTAATGTATGTTGATTAAGGTTGTTAATGAGTTTAACCAATTAATCTTGTAACGTTGGACCTTCTGATCTATAGGTCTATTAGGTCCCTTTGCTAGCTCGTAAAAGGTAATTAAGAACRTTAAATCTTGGAAGGAATTTGAATTGTTCAAATTTAATTAAASGGAATTTGAGTTAATTGTGTATGACACAATTTAATATAATGTATTATGATACATTATAAAACTATATATTATGAGATAAGAATATGAATAGGATTCATATTAAAACTATAGGTTAGTTTGATGTGAATTAGATTCATATTAAATACTATAGGTTCAAGTTTAATGTGAATTACTTTCATATTAAATACTATACGTTATGAGGGAAATGTATATTTGAATATGATTCAAATATTTATTGGTTTAATTAAATATGATTTAATTATATTTATTTAATTAATTAATTATATAAGATTTAATTAATTATTAGTTAAATTAAATTAGTTTTAATTTAATTAATTGTTTAATTTATTTATTAAATTTAATTTAAATAAATATATATATTTTTTATTATGGTTTTTACCGTAATTAACAAACCCACCACTTCCCAGCATTTTTGCTGGGAAATGGTGAGGTGGAGAGTGGAAGGTTACTGCTAGTCTCTCTATTCCCTCTTTCTTTTAAAAACAAAGAGAAATCTTTATGTTAGGTTTCCTAGGGAAAATTCTACAGCAAATCCTTTGGCCTCTCTCTCGTAAACATTACAAAAACTTTCTTCAATTCCCTAAGTTTTTCTCTCCAATAATCAAGATCCCACAATCCGATTCTTAATCTTTGAGACATAGCAAGGTTACTTTGTGGTTGTGTTCTATGGTTCGTGCTTTCGAGAACGTTTGTTYGTGYCAAATCAAAATCTRGGTTCGAGGAAGAARATTTGCCAACGGTCTACAAAAATAAGTAACCTTYTTCCCAAGAGGCTTAACCTCTAAATTAATAGAGATGGTTCTATTTTAAAAATCGGTGTTGTTACGTTTCTMAACCGAATTGAATCACAAGCGATCAACCGCWTCCAYTGGGGATTCGATCTCTTCACCGAAGTTAGCATTAAAGGGAACACTCATCTACTCCCCTAAAATCGGGGAGGAGTGAATTCCCTCTTGTAAAGTTATGTTCCCAGCTCCCCACTCGGTCTTRTCCCCAAAATGGTAGGAATGTTGAGTCGGCGACTCGGGCCACTCTCACCCATACAARTTAATGAACGAGCCCTCAYGGTCAGGAGTTCATAACTCACTCAAGATTGAGAATGAGTTACCTGGTTATCCTATGAAATRGCAATCAATTAATCAACGATGATACATCTAAAGATTGGCTATTTCGAGGTCCGGTCTTATASAAACTCATTGTATAGGATACTCTCACTCGCATGTCTCCACACGAACGACTTCGATCMAGTCGTTTGAAATATTTACAAAGTGGGTCGTATCCATAGTGTTGTTAGGATAGGGTTCCYAACCTTATCCATATACTATAGACCTGTTGGGTTATTCTCGRGACATTATCCACTTGTATATCGAGGGTATATCAAAGATATACTCAATAAAAATAAGGGGTTAGGGTTTCCCCTTATTTTATTCTCTGTTTTTAAATTGATGACCCACTTACCTAATTATTTTTGTTTAAAAAAACAAAGGCCATGGACTAAAAGATTAGAATTCTAGTTCCCAACATCACMAAACTTAATTATCTCCAATAATAGAAGTAAATAATCGGCYCAACGACCCAAGACAATTGCCAAAGAAAACAAACTCTTTGTTAAACAATAAATAAATAMATACATAAAAGCCAATAAACTCACAACAAACACCGTAGCGACTCAAAATAAAATGAAATAGAACAATAAAAGTAAATTAAAATAATTTATAAGAAAGAACCCTTAAGACTCGGTGTTAATCTAACCTGAGTAACACGGGGCGTTACAGAATTCCCCCCTAAAAAACTTTYCTTCTCGAAAGTTCATTGATTAAACAACTTCGGATAGCAGGCTCTGATCTCGTCTTCCCTTTCCCAGGTAGCTTCCTCCACTTGGTGATTCCTCTACAGGACTTCCACAAGTCAATCGCCTGATTCCTTAGCACCTTGGTCTCTTTTGCTAAGATCTCAACARGTACCTCTCTCTTGCACAAGGTTTCATTTAACTGTAGTGGTTTGGGATCTAWGACGTGAGAAGGGTCATGGACATACTTYCTCAGCATGGACACATGGAACATGTTATGCACTGCATCCAACGACTKGGTCAAGACCAACCTATAAGCGACTGGGCCAATGCGCTCTAAGATCTCAAAAGGACCAATATACCTCAGACTAAGTTTTCCCTTCTYATCAAAACGTATGACTCCYTTCACTGGTGCCACAYGAAGAAAAATGTGGTTGTGGAYGCCAAACTCCAACGCCTTTCGCCTAACATCAGCGTAACTCTTCTGTCTGCTCTGAGCCGTCTGCATTCTTGCCCTAATCATTTGGATGGCACCATTRGTTTCCTGCACCAACTATGGTCCCAACATGACTTTCTCACCGACCTCATCCCAATAAACTGGCGACCTGCACTWTTTCCCATACAAAGCTTCATATAGAGCCATTGCAATTCTTGACTGGTAACTGTTGTTGTAAGYAAACTCTATTATGCAGGCTCTCAACATGTCTTCCAAAATCTGATTCAGACGCTYAGTCTGACTATCGATCTGGGGATGGAATGCCGTACTAAAATCGAGCTGAGTCCCAAGTGCTTTATGAAAACTTCGCCAAGAAGTTGACGTGAAAYRAGGGTCCYGATTTGACACTATGGACACTGGTATGSCATGAAGTTTAACTATCTCCTGCAAATAAAGCTTCGTCCACCTTTCTACTGAATAAGTAGCCTTGCCTGGTGATAAGTCTTGAATTTTAGGAAAAAATGTTTACAAATTGTGCATGTTTAGTGTCTTCTGAAATTAAATACGTATGTTTCATGCATTGAATCCGGTATAAATGGGACTATTTCTTAAGAAAGACTTGTACACTTGGTTTTGGATAAATAGATGGAATTATGAGGAAATATATATGTTTTATAGGAAAAAATGAGGGAGAAAGCAGCAATGYAGCTGCTGCAKWTGACACAGAGGCTATCTTAAAGCTAGCATCGATGCGTCTGGCGCATYGCCAACACTCCAGATACTTCAGCAATGTGCCTGGTGCATTCTCCACCTACAAATAAGGGCTTTTGTTRACCGGGCAGTTGGAAGAAATCTCAACCCATCCCTTGATCCGTGCAACCAAATGCTGTTAAGCCCCATTGTAGCTCCTCCACTCAAATACTCAAGATTTTCTCCACCAACTTGCAAGGTTTAGCTTATAAATACCAAGTTCCATCAAGCTTCAAAGGGGAGCTCACTTGACATTTAAATTCCAACTTGCTTTCTTTCTAGAATTTMCGCTTTTATAATTTGTTYTGTCTTTAATTGTGTTCAACATTCCTGGAATTATTTTTATTGCAATCCCTTTTTGTTGTTRTCATTTTCTTTAGATTTTGGTTCTCGATTTTTATTTAGCTATTGTAATTACTTCTTAAACTTAATATGATATTTTATTTCAATCCACTTMTTATTATTTCTATTTTTCATGTTTTTAYGAGTAGCTAATTTGCTTTTCCAACCCTCTTACGAATGACTTAGTTCCCATCATGTTAATTACATCTATCAGATAGCACGGCGCTTACGCTCAAATTGCTTATYTGTATTGAGTTAATTAATCTAGTTGATTTTTCTTGTTGGCCACTTGTTTAAATCACAACAGTTGAGTTTAATTCTAAAAAGGTTAGAGTCAACGRARTTCATRAAGATAAAATKGGAAGTTACCTAGACATAAGAACTTAAACAAGATCMTAGACATAGRCTCTCTTMCCCAKTAAACGTAAGTTGGAGTTTTAATTACTTAGGATTCTTCTASTATTKTACAGACATGTTTTAAATACTAGCATAATCTTCTAAACAAACCAAAAGTGGTATGGAATAGGAGTTGAACCAGTTYGCAATTAGAGAGTAAATTTAGTGTGAGATTCTGATAGGTGTAATTCATTTCTCTTCGAACTAGTCMGTAGTATGAGGGTTGGTTTCAAAAGTCTATTTTMTTAAATTATAAACCATGCATTTCAACCAACCGATTTTTTCCCAAACTAGATTGCTCATTCAAGCAGTTTACAAARTCAATTTTAAAAGAAAAATAGTCCCYGTGGAGACGAACTTGGAATAGTTCCAGATTATTACTTGTGACAGTGTGCACTTGCACTCGTCCCTCTTGCTATTAAGTAGAGGCGCAACACCTGGCATGAAATGAGCAGACTTTGTCAACGATCCACAATCACCCAAATCCTTGTGTATYATTTAACCGTCATCRGCAAACCTGTAATGAAGTCCATGGCCATGTCCTCCCATTTCCAAAYAGGTATTCTTACAGGTTACAACAACCCATCGAGTCTTTATCTTGCGGYCTTCACCTGCTGACACGTCAAACACTTACTAACAAACTGAGCAATTTCTCGCTTCATRTTGTGCCACTRATAGTGTTTCTTGACATCCCTGTACATCTTGGTGCTCCCAGTATGCACTRAGAACGGGGTATTTTGAGCCTCGGTTAGTAAATCCTTCTTTAAAGGGAAGTCTCTTGGTACGCACAGTTTTCCCTGATAGAACAAGGCCGTATCCTCTGA